AAAGCGACTATAAACAATTTCCATTATCATTAGAAATATCTAATACATGTTCTCATCGAATAACGTTCTGGTTTATTTGGTGTGATAGCAAAAGAATAATGTTATATTTGCTAAACACTCATACACTGTTAATAGTAAGGCGAATGTTGTGTGTACATTCAGAAACTGCACATGTTTCCATTACATGCATGCGTGGTTTAAGCATTATTCCATCTCCTAAATATAAAACAAACATAATTATATTAGTTCAGAGATATTCTGGAATTTATTCCACCCACACTACTTATTACCGTCACTTAATTAAGGGAAGTATTAAGTGTTGGCGGCAACAACTGTAGTGAAGCCAACGTGGCCCGAGGGGACAGTGGTCAGTGACGCCAAACTGACCTCACTTACCAATCGACGGTGAGAAAATTCTTTCCTCTATAAAACTATCTCAATTGTCTGGACACGTTGAATAACACGGATACGTGTTTTGTTACGCTATCAAGACTATCACTCCCACAGATAACGGCACGCATTGGCACCGACCCCAAGAATCCTCCCCTGACTTAGAACTTATCTTTGACGATCTTGAATAAACAAAACAACGCCGTGAAGGATCCGGGGATGATCTGTTTGGCTTTGATGCCATGCTACGGTGACTTAGAATTATTTTAAATGATCCTATACAGTTATCTTATTAAGAGCGGTGTTAAAGGTTCAATTAAGTGGTATTTGAATCGAATTTATTTCAATTTCGTTGGATTTCGGGTGGGAGGGGTTTTCAGAATTTGACCGTTATTTGGATGCCCCCTTAGGGAGAATTTCATGGAGATATTATTCGATTGTCTTGGAAACGAAAATTAATACTTAGGCGTCATTGTGGGCGGTTTAAATGTACGATGTGTTTTTCAATCAGTTTGAATGATTAAGACAGGCTAGACTATGTGGCGTGGTAGAAAAATGGCCCCCTAATCGATATCGGTGTCTAAACTATCAAGTTGCGGACGACTGTAAATCAATTACATTGAAGGCTCTTGGGGTATTGTCACAACAAAACAGTCTTAAAAAACACCTGAATACGTTCAAGAGACGCAAATGTCAATGCAGTTTACAGGAATCCTTCCCAAAATCATAAACAAATTTTCAAAATGTGAAAGATTTTCGCACGTTCGGAAGTATTTACTTATGCTCGAGGGAGAGACATCCAGAATATTTAAAATAAGACTTACTCTGTCAGTACAACGTATCATAGCGTACATTTCTATTAAACTAGGTACCTGATAAACGTCAGAAACATCCAAAGTCTATTCGTCACACACATGTTGATTATTGAAAGCATGTCGGTCAGCAGCCACTTGTATTTATTATATTTACACGTACACATTTTGGATCTAATGTATATATTCAAAATATTACCTAAAATAGCCTCACTGCCTCATATCCAAATCCGATATTCAACAAATGTGAACACAAACGATCAAATTAATTGAATAGTTTATAAGTTCAAACACAGTATTATCCTACAAATTGAAATTTTATACGCGTGCAATCATTCCAAAAGTTCTTTTCATGTATATCTATAATTGCACAATCAAATGTTTCCGATGAACGACTTTCTGTCACATTCATATAATTAATAGTTCCCAAATGACGTTTATACAAAACTCCAAAACATGACAATGTGTGTATTCATGACCTACAATGTTTCGATTACAGCAATATATATTGTCGATTTAAAGGCCAAGTGCAATATGTTAACAGCAATATGGTTCACTCAAATGTACCATATGTTGACAACAAGGAAATCGACATGATATTGACATAATGTTCTGATTCTAAACTGTCATATATTAAATCAACCATTTGTTGGTAACTGCACACACGTAATTTATATCATCTGTTATCTGGGTAATAATATTGAAATATACTTACACTGGCAAAGAATTTCATGTAACTGATATAGAAGCGTTCAATGACAGCAAACTACGTCTACATGAAATATACTTCAAAATAAAATCTCAGCATCAGAAAATATAAGATAAATGTAAGAAAATGTATTTCTTATGCCAATAACTTTGAATAATAACACTTTGAAAAGGTAAACAATACTCTTGATCTTGTTAATGTTTCTGAGCACTAAAATCTTAAAGAAAGGGGGGCACTTGATATATAACTTCCGAATTCTCCCAAGCTAATTAAGCGAACTGATAATAGCCAAATCAACAATGGAGGTAGATGGACTAGAAGCTGGAAGCCCGATAGTGTTACACCAGCTTGTGCGCGTTTTAACGATAACGGCGACAGGGGAAGATCGCTCAGGAAGTAACTAGCATCCGAAGTTTTAAAACCTTTTTAAGTCCTTAATTTCAATCCCCTACCTTAAGTAAACACCGTTATTAAAACTTGGTCTATGATGCACACCACTAAACCTTGAACGAGCTCAAAGATAACACTTTAACAGTCGAAGATATATTCAAAAACATCAGTGTATAAACTGTTTGGGTTTTCATTTCTTTCAAAAGTAAAGGAGATTTTTTAAGTAGGATCCCCCACTGAAAATAAGACACGAGTGTTTCACATTGAATACTTTAAATTCAAAGCATGTATCTGTATTTCAAAACAGTTTTGAAAACAGTATTTACCTAGGAGACAAGTTGCCGTTCATAGCCTTCAGTTCCATATTTGGAAGTGTTTGAAACGTTCCAGTATGTCAACATTTAAATCCAAACACGGTTTTTGTTGGCAAGGATACGGCTCAACGATGTGTGAATGGTAGCATCGAAATTAAAACGTTCTCTTAATTGAAAACCTATATTTTCAATGTAGAATATATTCCCTATTGACGATACAACTTCATTGACAAAAGTGATGTCATCCTTCTAGCGGGTCAATTCGGTACATATTTTTATCACTGGAGATAAAGCGAAATCCACATGTCCACACTCGAGAATATACACAGTAAATGGACTCGAAATGACACTTACACTTTCCTTATCCGGATCCTTATCCTTGGTTTCATCCATATCTTGGTATATTTCCAAAAATTGTGAATTAAGATCTATGAGACCTTCCAGGTGAGACGTTAGTTTCCTTCTACCTTCAACCTACAGCTCGACTCAATGTATTTGAAACCGGCGTTCCGCTATATGCATATGAAATATATTAATCTCAGTCGAGTGTAGCTAAATACCTGCTATATGAATGTATATTTACACAGAACTATGTCGAGATTTATAGCTATAAGCAAGATGGGCAATTACAGGTGAACTGGGTCACAGAACATTCGGTTTATATTGCTTAATGTACATGGCGGTTCTACCCTATCGGTTTCATTAAAGATTCTCTTAGTTTATACACATATGAATTTATTGTGACATATGAATTTATGGTGATTCATTCATGGGTATACATAATTGATAACTGCACTGGAAACTATATTCACAGATATTTCATGGTCGATCACAAGAGAATGGGAAGCTGCAGAGCTTTATAAAACAGATGCTTAACAGTTATGCATTATACAGTTTCACAGAACAAATTTATCGTCATTTTATATAAAATGTATATTTCAAATGCTGTTATACATAAAAATATGTACGTTATGTGAAGTAGCCTTATTGATAAGAGTTCCATATTGAGCTTTGGCAATATAATCACATTTTGTACTTTGAAGTGGACAGTTTTAAAAACATGACTGGTTTTGAAATCTGTGTCTTCAATGCTTTGTTTACGTGTCGAAAAATGACTTGAATTTGAATGTTGATATCACTATCAGAATATGCTCTGAATTAAGTGTATTCGCCGGTAAAAATAGAATATTTATTCATTTTAAATTATTCCAACAGATGCAAACATAAACGAAATAATAGCCAGGAAAATGTGACTTTTCATTCTCTTTGTGAAGAATCTTATCTTGCGAGTGTGGTTTCTTATCAACATAAACGTGAAAAGACGGCGACGAATGTGAAATAAACACGGCCCCATATCTAGAGACATTTACACGACATGCTATCATTGCTACACCTAGCAACACGCAACGTGCATGTTACAGTTACGAACTGCTACAGCATGACTATTGAGGAGCATGCATGATAGATGTCAGTAGTCTATTTCACTTATCAGTACGATGATAGACATATATCCACGCCGCTATTGAGCACATCAGCCGCCTTGTCTCCCTGTCTAAACATATCAACACCACAGTCACGGATGCAATGGAACACTTCTCGCTGTTTCTATCAAATTTGGCGCTTCATTTTAATGCACTATTTATGGATGATAATGTTTTGTTTGTATCTAACACCTATGGACGATTTTGACATGTACTGATCTGATTGACATTTGGGGTAATGATTTGGATGAACGTACAAATAATATAATCTTTGGCGGTTCATCTTACACTCAGTGCACTCCACATGTAACATGGCGGATGTCGTTGAGTGTTGGATATACGATGTAACATTCGCGGTACATCTGTTAAAACATGCACGTTGACAAGTAGCCAGATATCATTTGCTTGTCTGAACAGACCCAACCAAAATATTTTGTAATGATCTCAAAATCTCACCTTACAAAAAACAACGTAAAGCGTTAGATCGCAATATACAATTAAGTAGGATGATGATTGCCCGACAATATCGATCATACCTTTAGGATTTTGCCTTTTTCTCCATAAAATGTTAATTTCAAAATTACTCATAATTAGTCATATTTGTTGAATCATGAAAGGAAACGGCGTGAGAATAATTGCGTATCGTGGCCACAGCGTCATATTTCAAACGTTTCGATCCAACCTTCTGACAACTCAACATTCATAAACTCGCAATGAACCAAATTAAAGATGTCGGAGAATACTACTTGAGATGACTGACGTCATGCATTAAACTGCCTAGTCCCAATACAACCGGTAATTTCGAAATAAAAAATAGTGAAAGAGCCCAATGTCACAGTGGTATCGACAGGTAGGGAAGTGTGACACAGTGTGCGTGACAGCGTGACAACACAAGATTACTTACAGGTGGAGAATACTGTAACATGGATGTCAGGTACTTAAGTCCCAGATGATATATTCCTTTCTTAGAGTCAGTGTCTCTCGATCAGACATCCATATGCCAGTTCACACTCAAAATCACCCCTTCGGAGTCAGTGTGAATTGTTTCGTGTCCTTATTCCGCATGTAGTCCTCGACACGCCTCTTGCAATCGCTTCGATTTTCATAATAACCGCTTAGGCTCGTGCACTCAGATATATGGTACAAAAGTGAGCGCGGAGCGGATACGGGAAAAGAATAAAGTATTAATATCTCTCCAATGTGCAACATGAACTTACCCCAATGACAGTTGCTGCCATATTCTCTGCTGAATAGATGGAACGCCTTCAAATTGTGTACTATCATTAGGTTGAGAGAGAATGGATGCACAGCGAATGCGAAGCTTATGATTATAAACGCCCCGCCTTCAAAGAGGCGAGGCGATCACTGAGCCGTAAGACAGAACCCATTGATACCATCAGCCAATCAGAAGGCCGGAAGAAATGATTGATAGGTGAGGAAAGCCGGAGGCGTAACTAATCCCCAAATCGAAAACGACCTTATCAGGCACGATCAGACTTCCCTGCAGTCTTGGCTTAGAAACGCATTTTCATGTACATTGATTTTATACTGTCGTTGAATAGCGGTGGGAAAAACCATCGCTTCTTGATTTGATGGTAATTGAATCATATATTTTATATTCTTCTGTCTGTATTGAGAGATAAGGTAGCCACGGTGAGTTAAACGATGCTGTCAGTTATGGCCCATAAAAGATAGCCTTATCACTTAGCTCGCTATCGTTCGCTACACACTGTTACTCAAAACTGGGGAGGTAGCAGAATTAATCAGTGATACTGAAAGTGTAACATTTCTCACTTTATGACATTAAAAACTTCTGATTATCAAAACAATTTCGTCTAACGAGTCCGCGGTGAATTTCAACAGGGCAACTTTATTAATTAAAGATTCTCCAAATGGTAATTAGTAATCATGCGACATGGTTGTAATGAATTGAAGTAACAATAAGTTTAAGAGAACTTGATTCATGTAATTCCTTTAAAACATGTTTCACTGATAAACAATACCTCAAACGAATTCGGCTAAAGTTCGCCGAACGTACAAAGTTCCATTTAAAGTATTAATAATTAATTTGGCGCGATTGACGCAACGGTATTCTTGGACACCAACTACAATGTCAGGAATAGTTTGTACTATGAACGTGAAACTGTCGACGTTTGCTTCAACAGAAACCAATATTGATGATCTATTTCTGGCATAATCAATTGTCTCTTACTCAGAAACGCTCAAAACGTCATAATTACCACGAAGCGTCGCCTTCATCAAAAGCACCAATGAGGCGAGCATTCAGTTTCGTCATGGCTTAGAGGTTACGTAAGCAGAAATACAAATCCAGCGATTAGCAACGACCCAAGTACTCGTCGTTCTTTACAACCTTTGTGCAAAATTATAGGGTTAGGGACGCATGAGCGCTCGACCAAACGCATCCAAGACCTCTCGTCGAAGCCATGCTTTCTGAACGCGTGCGATGGTCAAAAGGTTCCCGGGGCCGTAAACATTTCTTGTTGAGTAAAGTCTGATCATTTCATTTCGGAAAACTTGAAATAGTTCTTTCTTGCAAGTCATGAAATTTCCCGGAACGAAATCGGTATTTTATACTTTGAGCACGTGCCCCCTCGTCCCTGCCGACATAATATATCGAGTTAAATGAAACATGAAATGTCGCCTGATTTAAGGGCCGAACTAGCGTTAAATATGTTTCTTGACCATAAATAAAAATACGATTGGCGTCGGCATGTATTTTCAAAGGTATCTGAACAAAGACTTTGATAATAAATAGTCATAACTTTCTACGGTGATGGAAACGAGGTGAGGCTGATTGTTGTAAACAACCACTTTGCTTTTATCCCGAATCACATAAATTCACCGTCAACGTGAATAAATGAAAACAATTTCTGCTATTATTTGTATGTATTAGTAGCTATAAAATTCGCTTTTACCAAGGAGTACGCCTACACTTCCAATGACCTATTCACAGCAGAATCGAAATAAAACTTCTTTTACGTTTCAACATTCCATGGAATCGACAGGGGCTGATGAGAACACATTTGAAATGAATATTTAGTTTTGTCAGCCCTTAGATATCAACAGGATGAGATTTAATATATTTTACCCAAGTAGGTTTCCAAAGAGTGTCACACAACCGATGATTTATAATTATGGATCGTTTGTATATGGACAACCTGCATTTATATTACATTTTTTTGTATACGAAAACACATTATTTAGATGAAACATTGCCAACATATTTGAAGCTATATCTTTAAAACTTTAGGTGCCAATACTTAAAGGAATAAAATATAGAAGCACGTGCCCAATGATTAGGCCTTGGAGTTTCGACATCTTCACGAATGCTATTATAATGACGTGTCGTGCAATGTTTGTTTTTAACGTTTCTCTCAGCAATATTCCACGTGTATCACGACAGCTTGTAATTAACTGATTCTGGTCCAGCCAATCCAGTGATTGATATTATGAACAACGTTCCCGTCGGTCTACCACGACACCGAGTCTGACCATGCTAGTCTCCTCTTACGATCACGTCTATCAGGCTGCTATGGACCTGTCCTTACCCCAAGTCCACGCCAAGTCCACCCCAAGTCCACACGGCCGCCATGCATTGTATGTCAAGGGATGTAAATAGTAGTGACAAAGGTCTAGTTATGGATCCCAGATGATCTGCATTAACAAAAAGCCAAACCACACGTGTAAATTCTAGATATTTTGTTTTGGTATTCCTAAGTTATGTCAAAAATGGTATTACCGATTTGAACATTCTGCTTGAAGAAACAGAGGGACGTGTCTCCTGTTGGTGTTATTTCTTTCTTTACCAATGGTTCATGAACAATTATATATTGTTTGTTACAGAGCTGTTTGGTGCATGTCTTCCTACAGTCTGAGACAAAGGTTTTTATTTTCTTCATTGTCCCATCTTCCAGGTACATTCTTTCATCTGCAGAACCTTCAACCAGAAGTATTGTACAAATAATCATGATATTCCAAGATTACAGGATCGATTCTTATAACTTAACCTGTTTGTGTTACATGCTTACTTCAAAGTAAGATCGACTGTCTGAAAGTGGCTGAAAGTGGCTGGATCACATGCAGCAATACTTCTATTACCTAAAGTCTCATTTAATGAAAAGATCATATAGAGGGTATAGTGTACATCGGACGATGTGTATTGCTATATTGCTAGAGACAATGATTATGTCATTATTCTGTATTAAAAAGACAAAACTTCGATGCAATAAAGATGTTTGCAGGACATATACTTCTACTACTTCTTGTTATCTCTCTCTCTCTCTCTCTCTCTCTCTCTCTCTCTCTCTCTCTCTCTCTCTCTCTCTCTCTCTCTCTCTCTCTCTCTCTCTCTCTCTCTCTCTCTCTCTCTCTCTCTCTCTCTCTCTCTCATTCTCGCTCTATGATCTGCGGAAAATGTTTAGAAACGTACTCGTTACTCCGAGCAATTTCACGTTAAATGTACCATCCGAAATAACGGAATTTGACCGCATGTTTCATGTGCGCTTTAATCTAAATTACACACACATACCATTTCTAAATCATTGCACATGTGCTTGCAGCCGGCGTATAGAAGGATATAATAACGATGTTTATGGTAATATATAGGAAGTCTTACAAAAGAACCATCATGCTTGATATATACACACTACATCAGACGGTTCAGCAGCTGACACGCGCTTTGATGTACGATGCGGATTTTTTAAATACGAGAATCTTTAGAAAACATAAAAGTTCAACCGTGAATGGTTGGGTTTTCCATTGGACTGCCAGATGCAGTTGACGTTCACTTCTGTTTGCTTTATGTTTTTCTTAAATGAAAGTTTGGAATTTAAACATACACTTTTCAAACAGTTTCCAGCACGACGACAACTTTAATTTTTATATGAATTCATTAGGTGTTAAAAATGTTCATATATATGAAGGGTTTAATTATTTTCTGAATTATCGTATGCTATGGTGTGGTGCTTGTATGTATGGTTCAGAAAGTTACTTAACCTAAGCATATATCTTATTTTGCTTTAACATATATCGCTTTCATGAGGGTTAGAGTCACAGTTAAAAGCACAAACATTTATAACCTCGAGAAGAATGGTCAAGTGAACTCTTGCCAAGCCTTTGCATGTATTTGTGACGGGTGAGACCATTGGGGCAGGATACGCTGCCCTTTTTAGCTGATACATGCATATCCGTCACTATTTTATACTGATTCATAAACACATATTTTTTTTTTTAAATAGTCGCAATCGTACAAAAGACTTTTTTGGAAATGGCTGAGGCGCTGATATGCACAAATTGTGGTTATAGCTATATGCGATGTTGAGATTTTATTTTAAGGCAGTCAAGATTGTTTGATATGAAACGTTCGTTTACGTGTGTTGTTTAACAAACTGAAACGTTGCTATGCTATAGATCAGCTGTGTATCATGGCGACTTTCACTAGTTGAAGAAAGTCCACGGAAGTGCCGCTAAATGCACTTGGTTCACTAATTACCTAATCAGTATTTGATCCATTCCATAAAGACAACATGTAGAGGTTTCGGGTTAACATTGATAAAAATATTTTCGGTTCAGTGTGATTATATATTTTCAAATGGGAATTGAACATGTGTTCGCAGGATGTTGCAAACACATTCCTGTTCTATTGATGAAGAAATATCGACCTCTATAGAATTAAAGAACAATTCTTTTTATTTTAATTATATTAAATTGTTTTCGGATAATCATTGTGAGTGTAATAACTGACATTTAGCTTAAGTGTTAACATGTTTAGTAAATACCAAAACCAACAAATTTGATCTAAATGGATTTCACATCTTCAGTTACAGCACGGTCCAAATAGTAATACATGACAATGGGAAAATGCTCCTAAATGTTTAAAAAATTCTAAAAATTCTATTCATTGTAGATGTCATTCAATATGCATGGTCAGGTTTTAATAAGAATTATCCTGTAAAGTTTACGGATATAAAATGCTGGGGACCAATTTGCTTTTTCGTTTTAAGGCTTAAAGCTGCAAACGTCTCTAGCATTATTGAATTGTCGCTGTCATATTAGACAGATTGAATATTTTATTAAATACTCCATTTCATCACATAATATTTTTAATTGAAATATTTAAAAATTACGTCGGGATACATCGGTTCTATAAGAAAAAGGAACA